GTGTGTATATACGTATGTAAGTAGGGATGCATACACTAGTGCGGACAAATTGCATGACAAAAATTTGTTAAGTTTAATTTGCATGTTAGTGGGTGTGTTAACTGAATACGTACTTATATAAATATTTTACTGCACACATACATACTTGTACATACATAGATAGCTGCATAGCTTGTATTTGCTGCTCCCGCAAGATTTTCCTACACTTTCAACTTTTTTCTCAAAAGCAATCGTTTAAAGTTTTTTTTTGTAATAAATAAATTGTATTAATTTATCTAAATGTAAGAAGTTAATCAATCGATCTCTATGAGTGTTGTTTTTTTTTTGGGTTCTTATTTAATTTTTATTTTTTATATCCTTCTAAATAAATAAACATTTTCTCTGATTTGCTTCTTGTGTAATTTGCGCGCTTTCTCTTTCTTGCTTAAGCGCTTCTGCTGTGGTGTGTGTTTGCTCACTGTTTGCCAGCTGCTGCTGCTGCACGCCTGTAATTAGTTAATGATTTGGTTTTGTTTTTCTTCTAGTATTACATATGTATGTACGTATTTAAATAATTATTTTTAATGCTTAATAATTTCTTATATTTGTTTACTTGTTGTTGCTTTATATTTGCTTTTAATTTCATTTCTTATTTAAATAATTCTTTTACATATTTTTGTTTTCCTCTTATTTCTCTTTTGGTTTTTTGTTTTGTTGTTTGTCGGCTAGTGTTTGTTGTTTTGTTGAAGTTGGTTTTTCCTTTGTTTTTTATTATCATTTCGTTTATTGATTTAATTTTATTTTAATCTTTAAAATTAGATAGTATATCTACATAAATTTCAAATTTATTAAATATATTAATATTTTCGTTTCTCTTCAATTTAAACTATTTTCTTTATTTAGCTTTTTTGCTTCTCATTTTGTGTGTAAGAGAGAGTGTGTGTGTGTGTGTGTGTGTGTGTCTATGTTTATATCCTGTTTCTTCAGATTTCCACTTTGGTTTTTTAGTACATATTTGGGTTTTATTTATTTCAAAATGTTTAACTAATTATTGAATTAAACATACTTTTTTAAGTAGGTGTGTGTGTGTGTTTGTTTATATAAATAGTATATACATATGTATATAGCCGGTATGCGTGTATATAGTGGTAAACACACATACTTAGAATATGTATTTAAATCTAACGCATCTTTTCTATACGATTATGAAATTGTGGTAAGAATATTTGGTTTAAAAATTTTCAACTTCACTCTAAACAAATTTGCACAAATTGCACCAACGATTTCCCGCCATTTTCCAAATTATTTAGTTTGGTTAGTTCCTTTTCTTTGGTTTTGGTTTTTGTGTATAATTCGTATATGTATTGCCTGTTAATCATATATGTAGATCAGCCGTGTTTATGAGTGTACGACAGTGTTAAATAACAATTATTTTCAAGTGAATTAGGTGAGTGTTTACGAGTACTAAGTAGTAGTAAATACTTATGTATTTCAATCGAAATGCGTGAATTGTGTGATTGTGTGTAAAGGCGTGTTTAGTAGCTTAAACGCTTATACAAAGTTTATCGTTAGTAATTGTTTTAACGTACATATACATATGTAGGTTATTCATTATAATCATTATCTATTATTTTACTCAAGCCCAAGACGCATATCCTTTATTTACTAGCTTGCGTTCCGCACATACATATGTAGATACATGTATACTAAAGAAATCTTAAGATTTAAGTTGTATATATATATATATGTATGTATGTACGTAGTTGAACACATTTTTTATGCTGTTTCACAATTCCGATAGGGTCAAATATTTGTATTTGTGTATATGTGTAGGTATGCATATTTATGTTAGTGGAAACGGGCGGAAAACAAGTGTGGGCGAATTTAGATGAAAGTTTTATAAAAAAAAATCAACAACTAATCTAACGAATTTAAAGTTATTTGTTTCTTAGAGTCAACCTAGAAATAAGTATAAATAATACAATGTTGCGAAGAATTTACACGAACTGAGATAAAGTCGTATTATATAAGAGAGAAAACACAGATGATGTGAAAAAGGTGTTTCCATAAAAAAAAAATAAAATAAATATAATGAAATAATTCTGGCAGCTAGCGTTCTCCTTTTAACTTTACGGTAATAACTAGGTTCATATACATGTAAATAGAAATGAAATAAAAAGAAAACATCGGGTCGGAAATGCAAACTGTCTGAAGTAAGAAGTACTTCATTTAATTTTTATTAAATCAACATTCTGTACAACAAAAATTCGAGAAACACTTTATGGACACTGTATGTAGAAATACTAAGCTTAAGCAAAATAAAAAAAAAAAGCCTTTTTTGTTAAAGGACGAATATTCAGAAGAAATACATGTTATGCGAAAAGTATATAAACACT